AGACTGCAATGCTATGAATTTGCAGTCAAATTGATCAGTTAGAGACTTAGAGTTAACAAATTGGCTCTCCTCCTCTGTTGTTTAAGCTCATCCTTAGAAAAGTAGTAGTTGAATGTTTTCTGATACTACAACGAAAGCAACAAACACGCTTTACCCATTTTTTTCATTAAGCTGCACTATACCCTAATTTGTAAATTAAACCCGAATTTCGATTTCGGAAATTGAATGCACAAACTATTTTATAATTTTATATTTCAAAATCCTGAGAAATTAAAGAGCTACAAACCCTATGAGTTTTACCAAGTTAAGTGGGTTGTTTTTTCTCAAGTTCTGTTTCTCCCTCTTTCATACTTTTTTGGGCGGTCAAAATGTTGTCGCATGAGCTTTGTATTAGTGTTTTTGATTGGTTTGGATCGAATGATTATTTTCATTGGTTTTTCAGCATTGTGCTGGTTTTGGAGATGAATCTTATCGTGCGAGGTATAGTTTATTCTATCTATAATGTGACACCACTGCATTTTTTTAAGATTAAACGAAGTAAAAAGTATTGCTTGAATAAGCATGTGACCATGTTTTTTAATCTTTTGTTTTGTTGTTTTCCGCATCACTTCAAGAACTTCATTACAAAAAAACTTATGATGATTCATGTTAACAATTGTTCAACAGTTCTTTACTTTTAGTCACTCGGATTTTTACACTATTTGATCTTATTATGACTCCGCACATTTGGTAATAATTAACTATCAAATGTTTCATTCCTTCGCAAGTGTGCAACAGTAGTTGTTTCTGTTTTTAGCAACAACCTAATTTTTTTTATTGCAGTGAATTTAGTTATGTTGGGTTTTAGTGTGATTATGCATTTAGTGGAGAGTTAAACATGAGATGAAACATGAATATTATTGGCTGTTTGCTCTTTAGGTCAGTTGTTTTGCACTGTTTGCATTCGTTATTTCTTTGAGCCTGGGATATTGTTGAAGAAATGACACTATCTTTCTCTCTTGTACCTTGTATGTTTTGTTTTCTGGTTTGAGTGCTAATTAAAATCCTGATGCTTGATGTTCTAATTATGGATTCTCAGCTCAAAATTTTGAATGGTGAAGCTTGGTTCATTAACATGTTCTTTTCATTTCATGTCAAATTTTATGTGTTTTCTAGTTGGAAGCAGTTTTTCTTAACCGAACATGAAGCGTTTAACTTGTATTGACTAGTTTTTTTGAGTTATCAATTTTGGTACCAAAACACATGATGCTTGTTCCTTTTACATATTTTTTCCCTTTGGGTATCCTCGACTTTTGCTTTTATTTTTTGTTTTTGACATCTGTTATGCTCATCGTACTATTCTTTCCTTATCAGTTCGAATGAGCTTGGAGATTATCTATTTTTCCATGACCCTGATGCTTGCTTGTGTTCTTTTATCAGTTTATGTGATATTCAAAGATTTCCATGGCGATGTTCCTTCTTGGTTCTGGTTTGAAAGGTACTGGCTTATATGTTAGCCTAAATCTGGTCTGACTAATTCTAGAGGTTGCTCTACCCTCGACTAGTCACTCAGATGATTATTTCATTGTACTGCAGAGGTGCTATAATTTGAGGCTTGTGTTATTCAGGCAGTTTTGTATTGTATTTTGTGTTGTCAAGTCATGTGCTATTTTGGATTTAGTAGTAATATGATTTCCCAAATATGACCATAATGCTTGCTCGTCTTTAATTTGATATTCAGAGATTTCCATGGTGATGTTCCTTCCTAGTTCCTGGTTTGAAAGTTACTGGCTTATAGACTTGTGATGTTTAGGCATTTTTGTATTGCATTTTGTGTGTCAAGTCGTGGGGATATTCTGGAATCAGCAGTAATAAGATTTCCAAGTATGAACTTTCTCTAGCTGTGGCTGATGTGTATCATAGCAAAGGAGACATTTTATTGTACTAGTAAAGTGCATGCATTAAGAGATAGTAGATTTGTTTGTTGATTCTCTTAGCCAATTATGATCTACTAAAACTCTTAATAAAATTAATATTGGTATTTGAAAATATGAGATTAAAGAACATATAAATTGGTGGATATAATCGATGTTCTTTGTCTTCCAAATCTAAATTAATTAGGCATTAGTTTAAAATTTGTTTGTGACTAGATTGTTAGTTCTCATACTTTTTAGCTTGTCTCGTCTGGTTTAATTTTTTGTAAAAAAAAAAAAAAAAAAGACATTGAAATTCTTGGAAGCAATCATGGACTTTGCCCTTAAAAAACTACTAACATTTGTAATTGTTTGTCCGCAGGCTTTATTTTGATGGTCATGGAAAAACAACGCCTGTAAATGGTATCTTTGATATAAAAACGTGATTCTCAGTGTGTTACTCGAACACAATTTCAATATCAATTTCATTGTTTTAGAATCTCGAAATGTCATCATTTTTCCCATTGCATAATCAAATTTTCAAAACAATTATTGGGCAATCTCTTTTAGCATTACTGCTCTTTCGAGATCAATTTATGAGTGAACAGTTCATTTTAACCCAAATGTATTAGCGTCCACATGTAAAATTAGTGCGAGAAATATAAAATGAATAAACATTTCATCGAAACTCAAAGTAGCATATTAGTGTATATATGTAAAATTGATTGGAGATAAAAATTGAGTGTCTAACGTATAGCATTTTCCAATAAACCTATAGGTCCTCATGAAAATTGTAAGTGCGTTAATCATTTTGTTTCTTTACATTGATGATTTAGAGAAATGTCTTCTTTACTCTATTCTTTCGACTTTCTTATCACACTTATTTTGAATATTACCAATTTTCTCATAATTTGATAATATTTAATTTTTAACTTTATGAGTATCATTTTAATGCAGTCTTTAATATTTCAAAAACTAAACCAACAATATAATTATATAAAAAATAAATTACACCAATGCGTTAAAATAATACTCAAAAGGTTATAAAATTACATGTCAAAGTGCGTAACTTAAATAATAATCTAAGAAAACTCCACGCGGTCTCCAAATCAAAAAACTTTAACCTAATCTATCTACCCCTCCTAGCCGGCAATAGCCACTGTAGGCCTTCTTCCTTGGCTCGGCCGAGTCGCGGCGGCAGGTGGAGGCATATTATCTGCCACTCCCGGAGCCCAGCGAGAATTAGGCCATGGTTCCCGTCTCTCAGCCTCTTTCTCCTAGTTCCGGTGGTGCCTGTCGACTTCCTGTTTGAGCCTCCGCCTCCGCCCAGCGACGGGTGTCTGTCGAGATGTCGGTGCTCAACCTTGCGTGCTTCGCCTTTTCACCTTGTAGGAGTGTAGGCTTGCGACTTGGTGGCCGGTGGTTCGGGCTGTCCGCAGGATTGCCTGACCGGTCGGGCCGCTCGATCGTGCGGTAAGGTGCCTCCTTGGGTCTTTATTTCGAGGCCTCCGGCGTTATCTTGGCGGTTTCCCCATCTTCCCCCCGGTGCCGAGCTTCTTCGGGTCCAGATCTGGAATGACAATTTCATCTAGGCGGTTTGAGTGTCCGCAGTTTTCGAGTTTGGAGTCTAGATTTGTTATTCGTTTTGGAGTTTGGTATCGTGGGTGCATCTCGGTTTTCAGTTCAGGGGGTACGGTGGTTTGTTTGTTCGGCTAGGGGAGGTTTTACTCTAGTTATGTATATTAGGTGTGTGTTTTTTATCTTTTATTTTTTAGTGCGTAGAAGTCCAGCTGCGTCTGGCATTCAGTCTCCTTTATGGAGTTCTAGTCTCCTTTATGGAGGTGGGTTTTTTGTGTGTGCGGGTGAGTCCTTGATGGAGGTTGTACCTCTCGGACACAGATGTGCTTTCGAGAGGGTAGGTCCAATTTTTCTGGTTCCTGTGTGTCAGTTGACACTCCTATTGTACTCATTTGAGTTTTTTAGTTATTAATATATTTATCGTTTAAAAAAAAAAGAAAATTGTAAGTGCGTTAATCATTTTGTTTCTTTACATTGATGATTTAGAGAAATGTTTTCTTTACTCTATTCTTTCGACTTTCTTATCACACTTATTTTGAATACTACCAATTTTCTCATAATTTGATAATATTTAATTTTTAACTTTATGAGTATCATTTTAATGCAATCATTAATATTTCAAAAACTAAACCAACAATATAATTATATAAAAAATAAATTACACCAATGCGTTAAAATAATATTCAAAAGGTTATAAAATTACATGTCAAAGTGCGTAACTTAAATAATAATCTAAGACGTTACAACACTCTTTTTGTAGAATTCTTGTATTTTGTGATCGACTTATAATAATATATATATATATATATATATATATATATATATTATTTTGGAGTTCTTATAATAATATTAGTATTGACATTTAAAAACTAAATCTTTTTCTATGCAAGTAACACCAGTACAATTCACAACTCATCGTATGATCTCATACTTAGATTTTATTAAAATAAAAATAATTTTTATCTTTATATATATATGTAGAGAAGGGATCATATGAGAATGGTAGATAATGAAAGAAATAAGAATGATCATGGACCACTGGATTCATCAAGTCAATGGCTATGATCAAGTCAAATATTAATAATACCAGTCAAACATGGGATGGCATTACGGTAAATAAATGGACATATTATGGTCAAATATATGTATTTGACTACTTAATAGGGATAAATATGTCATTTATCACAATTTCACTTGCCAGTGGGACTTACCCAAAACCCACTCAGGCACACACACGTTTCTCCCTCACACACACACACACACGTTTCTCTCTCTCTCTCACACACACACAATCAAAGCACACACACAATCACGCACATATGCTCTGCATCACTCACACAAACACACACACATCACACACTACACACCCATAAACGACGCACGCACACATCCCTAAATCTAGGGCGCCGCCGCAGTCGCCGGCGAAGTCGCCACCGCCTGATTCCTCGGCATACCCGACCTCCGCCGGACCAATCGACGCAGCCTCCGTCCTCAGTTGGACCCCAACTTGACCACTGCACACACCAGGTCTCAACCTCGTCGAAGTTTCAGTTCCCCGCCGCCGTCTTCCCGGCCCGTCCCGTCGCCGCTGTTATCATCTCCGCTGCTGAAACGGTCCCGTCGAGCTCCACGATGACATTCACGGCCACCAGACCTGACGCCACTCCGGTCAGGCGCGGCCACTAGCCAGTCTAGTTTCACTTTGGCCGTCACGGCGAGTGCCATCATGTCGGCGGCGGAGAGTAAGTCCTGAAATTATTTTTGGTTGGTGAAATCAAAGTATCCGATGATGGAGGCGTCTGACATCGGAAAGGTGGTCGCCGGACAGTGTGAGGTCTTCCGGTGGCCGCAGGGTAAGTTCCTCGACGATGGCCTGGGCAAGAACAGTGGATTGATTTTCAGATTTATGATAGGGCCTTATTTTTGTAAATTTGAAAAGTTTTAGGGGCATATGTGCTAATTTGTAATTAATCAAATTTTATTAAGATTTAAATATTTACATTTATGTTCAGGCGCACGATTCAAAGTAGCCCACCCACTATTCATTGTATGCTGCATAATACTGGCACATTTAATAAAAAAACTAGAAAATTATTTCTTGAAAAGTCATAACCAATAATTTAATATGAAATTAAATGTTGTTTGGTAGGTTGTGGGCCTTGTGGCCGTTAAATTCCATATGCATAATTTGTACTCAATTGTCAATAATAATAATAATTAAATGAATAAATATATAATATTGTAGTTATTATGTAGATGTATTTTTTGTTTGCTTGTTTGATTTGTGGCTGAAAAATAATAACTCTTTACATTAAAAATATAATAATAAAATTAATATTTTTTTATATAGTTCAATATTCGATATTGTGCAATCCAATTATCAGTAATGTGCAATGCGTATAACCTTAATGTGCACTCGCAATACTTGAAAATATATAAAATAATAATAATATATTTCATATAATACGGCCATTTAAGTTATTTTGGTTATCTTAAAAAAATAAAGCCGACACCGAACTAAAATAATTGCGTTTTAAAAATAAATATAACTAATCGAACTAAAATATAAAATTTTAAATAAAAAAATTAATTCTTTCGGTTTCAGTAGCTATTAGTAATTGATAGTCATAAATGTGCATCTCGTCTAATAATATTGTGCACTCACATTGTATTCATTTTTTATGATTCACATTGAACCAAACTAAAAATGGACCGACATAATCGATTTATTCTATCAGTTAATCAAAATACCACAATTAATCACAATGATTTTTTATTTATATTATAAAAATATATTTAACATTTTAATTTTTAATTTGTTTTTTTTAAAGACCTAAAATATATGTGCTAACAAAATATATTAAATATTATGTCGATCTATTTTTTTTTAGATGTATTTGTGCGGTATTTTGTGGGAGTTATCGACATTAATTGTGGAATGTCGTGATAAAGTGCAATGTGTTGATTTATAAAGTGCAACGTTATATTTTAAAAAGTGCAACGTGTTGATATATAAAGTGCATTGCGGCAATTTTGTACGTTAGTATGCGTGTGTTTTCCGTATACGGATGATGTGATGGATGTTAAATTAGTACGTAGATATAATTTTAGATTTATGATGTGTAGTATTTTGGCGGAATCTATTGCGATAATTCTGAATTACATAAAGTGCAATGTGTTGTTTTATAAAGTGCAACGTGTAATTTTGTAAAGTGTAACGTGCTGATATATAAAGTGCACTACTTTATACAATCCGAGAAAGCTATCGCAATAATTCTGGATTGTATAAAGTGCAATGTGTTGTTCTATAAAGTGCAACGTGTAGTTTTATAAAGTGCAACATGCTGATATATAAATTGCCCTATTTTATATGATTCGATATAAATTATGTGTTTTCTGAAACTAGATTTAGTATATATAATTTTACATCAAATTAACCTAAATCTTTGGAATATTTCATATTTTATTTTTATAAAAAGTATACTTCGTATTTTATTATTTTTATATTATTTCTTGGTTAAAAATATAATATATCAATGTGTATAAAAAATATATATAAAAGATAACATTCTAAATATATTTTTATAAATTACAGATTTGCCTATGAATTAAATTGAAAATAATCAAAATTACTAAAATTACAAATAGGCCCCTCAAAATGATCTAATTTAAAAAAAAAACCCAAAATCCCTAATCCTAATCTGCAAACTCCCGTCACTCACTGCCATCTCCGACGCAATTCGTCCGGCATCAAACCGGCTCCGGCTTTTCTCTGTCAATCCATCTCAGCAAGTACTGTCATCGTCCAATTTATCTCCACCGCGTGGATAGTCGTTGGAATCATGCGTGAAACATACCTCCACGGTGCCACCTCTCTCGACCGCTGTCGTGCATCTAGAAATTCTCCGGTTGTTGTCGCCGGGGGAGACGACCGTCAGAAAGGGATGCGGTAGAGATGGATCGACGGCTGTAGAGATCGAACGCCAGTCGCCAGAAAAAGGATGCGGCCGCCATACCTTTAGCGATGGCCGCCGGGGGTGGTCGAGCATCTGGTGGTGGCCGGGTTCACTGTGTGTTCCGCCAGAAAGTGATGCGGCCGAGATGGAGCGATGGTTGTAGAGATGGAACGACGTTCGCCGGAAAAGAATGTGGCCGACGGACCTTGAGCGACGGCCGCCGGCGGGTGGTCGAGCATCTGCTGATGGTCGGGTTCACTGTGTGTTTGTGTGTGCAGTCAGTGTGTGTTGTGTGTGTGTGTGTGTGCGTCTGTGTGTGTGTGTGTGAGTAGTGTGTGTGTAAGAGATTATATGTGTACTGTGTGTGTGCGTGTGTTGGGTGTGTGTGGCGTGTGTATGCGTGTGTTTTGTGTGTGGGGATGATGATGTGGCATGGTGATGTGGTAATGAGTGTAATGGTAATGTCCAAATTACCCTTAATGAAGATATAATTTTGACTTTTTTTTAGCCAATAGATCATTCGATCTAATGACTACGATCCATTCTTATTTCTCGCATTAAGCATCATTCTCACCGGAGCGTGACCCTATATATATATATATATAAAATCTTGGCATTTACCTGAAAAAGCAGTTGAAATCCCGCAAAAAAATTTCATTTTTACTTTTATTAGTAAATTATTTTAAAAACTTTGAAAATGGGCAGATATGTTTTGAAATTTAAATTAAAAAGTCCAAATAAAATTTTAATAGAATCTAATTTGTCAACTATTGTGGCTCGCATTTGTCCGAAAATTTGGTGAGATCTCTTGGACAATATTGCAGCCATAATTGATTTAAAAATGTGAGATTTGAGCAAAATCAGTCAATTAATGTCTTATCCAAATTATTTAGGAATCTATACTTATATAAAGAGTCATCTCATTTACTGTTGAAGAAAAGTCAAAGTAATTAATGCATTCTATTTCCATCAATTAATTTTTATTTAATTATTTTTCCCATAAAATCGGTACAAAAAAATGTACGTAAAACAAAAAAACACAAATTTGATCGGAAGATAAAATCTTGATTTTACCAAAAATAAATCAGATGTCAAGCCTAAATTGAAGGGTTTGGTTGTCGATGTAGATATTGATTTACGTAAATCAATACATCTAATATTTGTAATTTGTGTAAATTTAAAATCCCTTCTTATCTTTGTACAAAAAATCTTATCTAATTGTATGGAAAATCTGATCTGATTTGTTCCTCTACATATAATGTGATTTCTGTATATCAAGATTTTTTTCTTAAAAATCTTAACAGATATTGATTCTACTCTACCAATTATAAATTATAAATCTCGAAATATTGCGTCATCGTGTTCCTCACTTTCAACCTTCTGCGAAAAAAATATCTCCAATACTATCTTATTGTACAATTTTCCTACGTATTATAAAATTTTTATTTAATATTGCATCTTACAATATAATATTTCTCAAATAAATATATCTCGTGTCTCGCACGGGTCACGTACTATATATATCCCATATATTTTTCTTTATTCATGTATATAATTATAAGCCTGGATAAATAGCCTTAAAATTGCGCACCCCATGCATCGCACGGGCTCTGCACTAGTATATTACAAAAAAACGTGCCAAATTGATTTTAAAATTTTTGAGATTTGAATGGGTTACACCAATCAAATTCCAATCCAAAATGTGTTCATCATTTAAGCCTTATCCATGGGATTTTTTTTTCTATTTCTTAAATAAATTCGTGTCAATTTTTTTTATAAAATTGATCTTTCCCTAGAGGATTTTTTTTATTTCTTAACTAAATCAGGTTCAATCTTTTCAAAAACATGATATTCCCTTAAAATTATGGACTCTTTTTCCATTTCTTAATTAAATTTACCTTATCCTGACTACTATGGTAGAAGAGGAGCCATTCTTACCAATAGCTAGAGTGGAACAGACTAAACATGAGAAGCAGGTCATAGAAGAGGAAACATTAGTGAATACAAATCCTACAGTGCAAATAGAGGAGGGACAGTCCAGGATTAGAAATAAAACTTGAAAGAGAAGTGGTCAGAGATCTATCAAAGAGGTTGAAAAGGGTATTGGTGGGGGTGTGAGTTCATCTACTCATCACAAGAAGAGAAGCAGGCAAGTGGAAGGGGATAATGTGAGTGTGAGAGAGGTTGGAAAAATGGAACTGAATGATGGGAGGAAATCTAAGAAAGCTAAAGACCAGGTGGGGGTAGCCAGCCTTGAATGGCCCCATGGTGATCAATGCTAACTCTGGTGTGGAACTGTAGAGGCTTGGGTGGCGCCTCTACAGTTCCCCAATTGAAGGAGTCAATCAGACTCCACCATCCTTCTTTTGTTTTCCTTTCTGAAACCAAATAATCATTATGGTTTATTAAGTCACTGTGTAGAAAGATGGGCTTTGAGGAAAGATGGAAATATGTTGAACCCAGAGGTACTAGTGAGGGATTACTTCTAATGTGGGAAAAGTCAGTGGAAGTTAGACAGTTGATGTGCTCTGATTTCACTATTGAGGTTGAGTTCAAAGAAGAAGGGAGCAATGTTTGGTTGTGGATTATTTTTGTGTACCTTAGTACTGATAAGGCCATAAGGATCAATCTGGAGATGTCTTGAGGATGCTAAGGCAAGATGGGAGCCTACATGGTTAATTACAGGGGATTGGAATGATATTCTGCATCAAGAAGACAAGAATTGAAGTAGAGAGAGATCTGAAAGCAGTTTGGAAGGATTTAGGTCCTTTGTGGCATCTATGGGCATGCAGGAGCTAGGAATGCAAGGTTATCCCTTTACTTGGGGTAACAACAAGGTGTTAGAAGGGTTTGTGGACGAACAACTTGATAGAGCCTTTGTCTCTCTGGAATGGCTGTCAAAATTTGAGCAGACTAAGGTCTCTAATGTGCTGAGAACAGCTTCTGATCACAATATGCTGCTTATTGACAAGAATCAGGGCAAACATCATTTGAAGAGGAGATTCATGTTTGATAAGAGATGGATAGCTAGAGAAGGAGTTGAGAAGGTGGTGGACAGTATGGAAGGCCAAAGGTGATAGTTCTCCTATGTTTCAAGTGAAGGACAAGATTAAAATGACTAGGCTGGCTCTGAGAAACTGGGAAAGAAAAGAATATTTCAACAAGTCAGCTACCATTCAACAGCTGAATCTTAAGCTTGAGAGGTTGAGAGAAGCAGGAAAGGAAAGGGATTGGGTGGAGTGGGATAAGGTGAAAAAATAATTGGACAGTGCTTATAAATCAGAGGAATCATTCTGGCATAAAAAAGCTAGAGTTTTGTGGCTGAAGGAGGGGGATCAAAACACAAAATTATTCCATGCTTATACTATGCGAAGAAGAAAATGAAATTCTATCTGCAGATTGGTGAATGAAAGAGGTAGGGTTGCTAACACTGAGGAGGAGATAGAAGATATGGTGTGTCAATTCTACAACAATCTATTTAAATCAGAGGGGTCTAGAGATGGGGATGAATTGCTGCAGAACATACCTCAGTCAATCTCTCTCAGCCTTAATAATGACACCACTTTTCTTTCAACATTTTTGGCATATTATCAAAATTGATCTTTGTGTTGTTGTTTCTAGATTTTTTTATTCAAACATGTTGCTTAAATCTTGGAACCATACCTTGATAACTCTGATTCCTAAATGCTTAAAGCCTGAGACTTTGAGTCAATTTCGTCCTATCAGTCTACGCAATGTGATTTATAAGATCATTTCAAAAATTCTCTCCCAAAGAGTGAAGGTGTGCCTTGAAGTTTATGTCAGTGAGTTACAGTCAGCCTTTGTCCCTAATAGAAAATTGCTTGATAATGTTGTAATAGCACATGAAGCTTTCCATTTTCTGAATAGGCATAGGTCAGGGGCTCATTCTTTCATGGCTGTTAAGGTTGATATGGAGAAGCTTATGATAGGGTGGAATGGGGTGTGTGGGGGATATCATGTTTAAAATGGGTTTTCATCCCAGATTTGTGAGATGGGTGTTGGTGCGCATATCTTCTCCAGTCTTTTCTTTCAATTTAAATGGTAAAGTTTTTGGGTTGGTTAAACCTTCTAGAGGGCTTAGACAAGAAGACCCACTGTCTCCTTACATTTTCTTATTGGTTTCTGAGATTTTTTCAGCTTCTATCAAATGTGAGGTGGGCAGATATAGAGGGGTGAATTTGGCTAGAGGGGGTCATGTTCTAACTCATTTATTATTTGCAGATGACTCACTGCTATTTTGTAAAGCTGGTGAGAGTCAAGCTAGGGTTCATTTGCAAATTTTGGAGTCTTATAAGTCTTTTACTGGTCAATCTGTGAATTTGCTAAAATCTTCTATTTTCTTTAGTAAGAACACCCCTTCTTCTGTTCAAGTGAGAGTCTGTGAGTTGTTGAGAGGGATTTCTACTAAAAAATCCACTATATATTAGGGTTGCCTTTGGGAATTGGTAAATAAATAAAAAAAAAAAAAAACCTTTAATTTTGTGCTGGAGGCTGTGTAGAACAGGATTAGCAACTGGAAGAACAAATTCCTTTCAACAGCTGGGAAAGAGGTGCTGATAAAGGTTGTACTAATGCTCTCCTAGTGTTTATAATGTCTTGCTTCCAACTTCCTGAAGGCATTTGTATAGGAATAGCCCAACTATTTGCCAATTTCTGTTGGAGCAAAGGGGATGATCAAAGGAGAGGGTTGGATTGGAGTGCCTGGAGAGACATAACATTACCAAGGGAACTGGGAGGACTTGGGTTTAAAGATATGAGAATTTTCAATCAAGCACTGATGTTAAAGCAATTATGGAGAACTGTCACTATGCCTGACTTTCTTGTTAGCAAAGTGTTGAAGAATATGTACTTTCGAACAACTGATTTACTTGACTGCACCAAAAAACCAAATGCTTCTTGGCTTTGGAATTGTTGGATGAATGTGCTGCCACAACTTAAAAGCGGTATGAAGTTGGAAGTCAGAAATGGCATATCAACCAAGATTCTTGATCACAATGAGGCTGGGATTGGCAAACTTACTCTAAAAGAGGAGATTGATGGGAGGGGTATATGAGTGAAGGATTTGATTGCAG